GGTATCCTGCAGGATATATTATTATTATTATTATTATTATTATTATTATTATTATTATTAAAGTAACTGCCTATTATTACTGCCAGTCTCTCTTGCTGCTCCAATGCTTAGGTAAAAATGAAGTCTTTACTGAGTTGAGTTCAATTTCAAGTGACTTAATGGACATATCCATGCAATTTTCTTAGCAACAACATGGAAGTGGTTTACCACTGCTTTCTTTTGGGATATTTTTTACTTTGTCTAGCCCAAAATCCTGATTTTTTTTTTTTTGGTTGGCTTTCCACCCAGGTACTAACAAAATGCAACACCACTTAGTTTTATGAGATTGGCCAAGGTTAGTTAAGTGCTGACATCTAGACACCTTTTAAAGGGTGAGGCTAGAAATCTAACCTGCCAATTTTATAAATGCAAACTACAGTATGTGCTCTATTATTGAGCAATTATTTCTTCCACTGATCTACTCCATGACAAACATTAGGACTTGTTAAGCAAATTGGTACTATTTAATAGTGGTACTGCCAAACCTTGGTATTTAAAATGTATTAAGGTAGATCAAAAGCCACCACAATATAAATTTAGGTTCAGAGCAATAATGAGCAACTTATGATCATCCAGGTTTTATTGCATTTTGACTCTCATCAATCTTAGTTAGCTCTGCCAAGAGGACTGACTGGAGTTGCAATCTAATCTTATTTGTAAGGCCACATGTTAACCATTCCTCATTTAGGGCGACTAACAGATACTCCTGGAAACTAATAGGCTATAATTTTACCCAGAGCTCCTCATCAGCTCCTACAAGATACTGATCTGTATGTTTATATTTTTCATATATCTAAATTAATCTTTGCACAGTAAAACTATAGGGCCAAAGTAATGACTTGGAATACAGCATAACTAGCAGAGCAATTATTTGAGGGACCACCTCTCCCCAATTATGTCTACTTGTTCCATTAGGTCTGGCAGAAGAAGTAAGTTCTGAGTACTGACTGTTACAGAACTTCATCTGGCAGGGCCCAAAAAGATAGCCTTTTCTGTTGTGGCACCCACCCTTTGGAACATCATCCTCCCAAAGATCAGATTGGCTCCAACCCTACTGCTTTTCATAAGGCCCTAAAGACATGGTTCTGCCACTGGGCTTGGGAATCCAGATGGGTGGTAGAGCCTGTGCAGTGGCTATGTTAATTGTTCTTGTTGGTTTTTGTACCAGGGCTACTGATTGTGTTTGAATGGTTTTTTTTGTATGTATATATGTATGTGTGCATGTGTGTGTATACACACATGCACACACAATATAAAAACATATTAATAAATAGCTTTTTAATTGTTTTGTTGTTAGCCCAGAGTCATGTATTTGAGATGGGCAGCCATATAAATGGAGATAAATAAATACTAAATCATGTTGATGCTAGTGGTCACAATTCCCATCTAATAATGTACAGGAACGTAGGAATCCCAGTCTCAGTCTAATGTCTATACTTCAGCATCTAAGGAAGTCACAAAACATCCAAAATCTCTCCAAACTCAGCCACAAGTGGAGAAATGATCGTAAGGTCTATACTTAGTATGTATCTCTACAAAAGCAAACAAAGAATGAGATATATGGTCATAAGCTTCCCAATTTCTTGCTGATAGCAAATAATTCAGAAACCAATGCTTTCATTTAAACAATTTCAGATCAGCACTAGAATGATTATAATTGTTAATTTCATGTAAATAGGGCATTACAGATACATCAACTATCCCTCCATTTTATTTCATAATTCAGCTGTGGTTTTTTACCTTCATCTTTATTTTCTTGTACTCTTCTTTTCTTTTCCATATGTTCAGCCTGTAAAATGAATAACTTAATTTGCTTTCTGCACACCAACATGTGAATGACGTGAATCTACCAAAAGTACTTATAAACTACTGGGTCCAAAAAGGGGACCAAATTGAAGAAGGTGTAGCACAAGACAAACATATAAAGTTACAACTGGAAAAATAATACAAATTGCTCCCGTCTAATTTTCATAAATTAAACATTTTCCATGGAATAGTCAAGGAATTCTTATAAAAAAAAGAAGGAAGAAAGTAGGTGACAACTACCAGCCAAACTTGTCCAGCTGTGTGGAAGTTGAGAGCCAGAGTTTCACAGGACAGAAATGTCTGTTATGTCAACAACCAACAATCACAGTTTCAAAGCCATGAAGCACTGAACAAAATTCAATTAAACAAGGGTTGGGATGAGAGGTCAGTACAGGAAATAACTACAGTAGGCAGAATTGCACCTTCAGTTGAAGGCATTCAACTGTTGTAGTGGTGTCTTCCTAAGATGCACTCTTATTTAGCTACAGTGGGGCAAAAAAGTATTTAGTCAGCCACCAATTGTGCAAGTTCTCCCACT